AAGCAGGGAGCCCGATGCGGGGCTCGATCCCAGGACCCCGGGATCACGACCTGAGCCGAAGGCAGATGCCTAACAAGACTGAGCCACTCAGGTGCCCCAAAATAAGTACATTTTCAAAAATAGTTAAGACAAAGGGGCACCTGGGTGGCTCAGTCGGTTAAGTGTCTGCCTTCGGCTCAAGTCATGATCCCGGAGTCCTGGGATCCAGCCCCACATCGGGCTCCCTGTTCTGCAGGAAGCCCGCTTCTCCCTCTCCCACTCCCCCTGCTTGTGTTCCATTTCTCGCTGATTCTCTCTGTCAAATAAATAAAATAAAATCTTAAAAAAAAAAAAAGTTAAGACAAAACTAAACTCTGAATTCATTTTGATGGAAGAGTGTATTAACCGGGAGGCTGTAGGGCAGAAAGACAAAAGAATGCCCTAGAAGAAAGCACACAGATTACCTCTAAATTAGCACACCTGCCTTAGGAGGTGATATTCTCAGGAAAAACTTAAAAGGTCACCAATAATCTCCCAGAAGCCTCCTAGAAGCCAAATCCAATAGATTTGTCCATCCAAATCTTCCTTGATCTTTTTGCCAACTTGACACTGACCTCCTCCTCCACCTACCCATAGGGCAACTCTGCAGTCTCTAAGTGTCAGAAGCTCTCGGAGAGCCACTAACTTTCAAAAGGATGATGAGATCTCCCATATCTTTATCTCCATCCTAAATATTTGTCTTGAACTCCAGACCTGAATCTCCAACTGCCCACTGGTCCACTTGGGCACCCCACAAGCACTTCCGATTCAACCTATCCAAAACCAAGCTCACCATCTCCCCCTCCTCCTGTTTTCCACCTTCTTGATGGGTGTCACCAGCCAGTGAGCCACCCAAGTTAGAGACAGGGAAATAATTCTAGATGCATTCATTCAATAAACATTTATTAAGTGCTTATAAAAATCCCTGATCCCATGGAGATCATGGATGTTAAGTGAAAGAGACAGACAACAACTAAGAAAATAATGAAGTAAAATGATAGCAGATAGTGAGAAATGCTAAGGAGCATGGGGAAGTGGGGACACTGATATGCAGAAGAGCAGGCTTGGGATGAGCCTGGGTGTGCTTACGTGAGGCCAGAGTAGGAAGATGAGGGGAAGATATGGGGACAGAGTGCCTTTAGGACACTGGCCAAAATTTAGCAGAGTGACAAGTCACTCCAACTTATGTTCTAGCAGCTCGCTCTCGCTGCAATCACTGTTGCTCCATCTCTTCCAGATGGCAGCCCCACCCTTACTCTGGTCTGGTCACTCCCAAGTCAGGGCCACTGTAACTAGTGAAGCCATTTCTAGTCCATGTGTATCACTGTTGCCACTGTCCCTGCCCTGAGTCAGGAGCTCTCAGTCCTCACCTGGGCCTAATGGCTTCCGACCGAATCTCATCCTGGTTCAAATCAGCTGCCCGCCTGCCGTACTACCTATGCTTTCTAAAGTAGCACCTCACTCTTAAGAATCCTCCAGTCCCGCCCCAAAAAAGAATCCCCCCAATCCTCCTTCTTGCCTTCCTTCCCTGATCTTCCCTGTCCACTCTCACCCTTCCCAACTTTAGTCCCCTTTATGGCAGCACTGCTTCAGGGCCTATGTCCTCCAGAGCGGCCACTACCGGTCTCACCCCTCACACATCTGGCCAGTTGTACATTTTCTTCAAGGCTCATGCCCAGAATCCCCTTCTCAGGGCACTGAGCACAATATTCAACCTCATCTGCCATACCCAACGATTTCCTCTGTCTCCCACCAGACTAGGAGCTCCTAGAGGCCAGTGACTGTCTTTTATCTCTATTTCCCCAACTACTGAGCACAGCAGCTGCCATTCAGTTGGTTCTCGATTTAAAGACCTTGCTTTCACCACTTAATATGCTAATCATTTCTACTCTATGTCCTGAAATTTGCCACTTAAAACCTGCCTGTACTTCTGTTTAGGATATTACTGATCACTTCTTTGTTATATAAAGTTCTGGTTTCTTATCATATTCCACTTATGTTTCCATGTTACACGAATCCTACAAATTAGTAAGTTTTGACATTTATAGTCCCATATGCAAAGCTACACATTGGCTTACCTATTTTCAACATTATGAAACATGCTTAAGAATGTATAATTTTTTTAAATGTATAATTTTAAATAACTACAGCTGAGTTTTTATTTATTTTAAAATACTTAAGATACTATGTGCCCCTCCCCAGTGGCATTTTCTCCCTCATCCTTCCTGGAGGTACTGTCCTGACTCCCATGCACGTCCTTCCACCTTTACTCGTATTGTCTAGTGTTTCTAGAAGGCACTTCCAAGCAAAGTGAATGAACCAGGTCACAATGAAGTTACTGCCCTGGGTCCTCCACCCCCCTCGGTAACACCACAGGGCTGCCAGGCTCCACTGCAACATGATGTTGCATTCTCTGATGACCTGGAGAAACTGGCTCTTAGGAGTGCCTGGCTTCGCACACGCAGTTCCGCCACAATCTGAACTTCTTAATATTTAGTATCATTGTATTCTTACAGATACTTAGGAAACAGAACAATGAATCAAATTTCCCACCCTGACTAAGGTTGCCAATACCTGGAAGAGGTAAATCCAGAACTGTAATAAGATCATGAGACTTAAGAACCTCGGTCTAATTTCCTAATGGGTTTTTCACTGAACTATTACCATGTATTCTGAGCTAATGATTCTGGTCAGTAGCTTAGTCATGCTGTACCCAAAACAGCCCTAGAATTTAAAGCAAAGAATCAAAGAACTGCCCTCTTATATGCCAGTTTAGATAATGTACCTCAAATTTTCCGTTCTCACACTTTTTAAAAACATTTTTGCAAGTACTCTCTATCAAACGCTTCATACGTAAATTCTTAACGTGTTGTTTAAATAATAAAACAATAAGCAACGAAAACTCCATCACAAAATTACCTGGATCTACAAACCTTACGTTATTTATGAAACCATCCAATCCACCCGGCATTAATTTTACTTTAATGCTGTAAGGATTTTTTTCAAGGAAAGAGGTGCACCGAATCTGACAACCGCGTCGGGGTTGCCTCAAGTTTAGCGGCATGAGCAACGCCAGCCCAGGGGAACACTGTGGGTGCAACGCTCCTCGTCCGGCAATTCAAAAGCGAGGATCGCCGAGGAGGCGACGTAGAACCGGCCTCCAGGCAGGGACCCCACACACTTCCGACCAGCCCCGCAGCCCGTCGCCCGCGAGCATGACAGGCGCGCCCGCCCAGGGCGGTGCCGCGGGAGAGGGCGGGGGCCGGAAGGAAGAGGGAGAATTCGGACAAAGCCAACCCGGCCGGCCGCCCCTCTCCGCGCGCCGCGTTCCCGGGGGCGGCCCTATCTCCCCCAGCCCCCGTCGCGAGGCTCCGGTGGTCCGCAGCTGTTCCCGCGAGCCGCCGCCCCCGCCCGCAGCACTGCCGAGCCGGGGGTGCGGGGCCGCAGACGCGCAGAAGGGACCGCAGACGGGGAGGGGCCGGGCCCCGAACTGGACACCGGGATGGGGAAGGGGCTGCGGCCAGGGATGAGGTCTCGGAGGGGACGGGACGTGGACGAGCGCCGGGGGCCGCGGCGCCGGGAAGGGCCGGGGAGGACCACAGAAGCGGACAGGGATGAGGACCCGGGCGGGCTTGGGCCCGGGAAGGGGAGCCGCAGGGGATGCGGGCCAGGGCGGGGGCCCGAGGACCGCGGTCCGCGGTGGGGGGGACGTGGGTGAGGACCGAGGGCCGGGGCGCGGCCGGGAAGGGGAACGAGGGCTCACCGTGCTGCTCCCGCGGGGCCGCGCGCTCGCGCTGTCAGCACCGGGAGGTCGCGGGGCGCGTGCGCGGAGCAGGACTGCGCGGGGCCCGCCGCTTCGGCTACGTCAGGCGCGGCGCCGCGGTCACGAGCGAGGGGCGCTGGCGCGGCCGCCCCGCAGCATCCTCGGCCGCCCGCGAGCGCTGTCCCCCGCGGCTCCTCCCCGCAGCCGCCGCCCCGCGCCCGCCGGCTCTGCTCTGCTCCGGCTCCGCCGCTTCCGCCGCGGAAAATGGCGTCTCGGCGTCCCTCCCCCGGCTCGGCGCTCCCGCCCCACAATGCCGCGCGCCGCCCGTGACGTCACCCGCCCGCCTCCGGGGGGCGGGGCGCGGCCGGGAAAGAGGTCCCCGGCGCGGCGTGGAGCCCTGCGGACGCGCGGGAAGGGGGCGCTGGGGCGGGGCGGCGCCGCCCTCGACCGCCGCGTCCGGGTCCTTCCCTCCTGCTCGCCAGTCTCCGGAGTGATGTTCACTGTGTGCCAAGCCCCGTCTTCACGCGCTTTATGTGCGCGTTTCAATCTCCCTGGAACCCGCAAGGAGGGCTTTCAGCAGCCTCTCCAAACGAAGGGGTCCTAAGGGGCTAGGCTAAGCCAGGAGGTCTCTCTGCCTTCTCCAGGAAAATCTAGTCTTTGATCAAGACCCTGGCCTTCCCCATCTCATTATTCCCTCGCTGCCCCCAGGATCCTCAAGAATGGGAGCTCAGAAGGAGTTTCCAGGCGCTTCCCTCGGCCACACAGGCCTCGCACGGACGGCACCGTTAGTGCCTGGCAGGGGCAGAGACGCCACCCCCTGCTGCCGCACCCCACCCGTGGCAGCAGTGCCACGACCTCCAGCCCCCGCCTGAAGGGCGGTACTTCCAGGTCAGAGAGCACTCCTGGGCCTCATGCTGCTGCATCGCCAGCCCTGCAGGCCTGACTCAGCAGCCAGCCAGGAGGACACACGCTGATTCAGTGGGCAAGGCTCAGCTCTCTGCCTGACCACCACCACCAGGTGCCTGCAGATGTCCCCAGTGCAGGGCCCTGTGGCATTATTAACCAGGAGGCGTTCCTCCACCCCCACGTGCTTTTGAACTGCTGTGCTCTTCAGATGTATGAACCCAGCACCTGCAGCCGTTTTAACCCTGGAATTACAGTCACAGGGGAAGTAAGTGCTCCTAGACTGTCACAGAGAGGCCCAGTTACTTTGCTTTCATATAAATGCAAAAGTCAGCTAAAAAGGGGTGAGGGAGAAGCAGTGAATCCAACCACCTTTCCACACTCCCTTAGTGATTTGGCCACTGCAGCTTGGATGTCACCTGCTCCTCAACAAGCACCCTAGGGGCTGGGCACACAGCTGTAATGAAAGTGCTCTAGAGAAGAGAGGAGCAGGCTGAGTGAGGCTCCTTTCTCTGTGACTCTGGGCTTAGTGACTGTTCCCTCCACTCACCCTGAAACCTGAGATGCTTGATGTCCTCTCCTAATGAGTAGCCTCCTTCTTACTGCTCTGATCCATCCCTCTCCAGCCCCACTGCTGCCACCGTTTAGGCTTTATTATCTTGTTCTTTTGTTCTCTCAACAAATATTTGTTGAGCTGCCATGATCCCCACCGTAAGAGCCAAGGTGCGCTGGTAAAGAGGATAAGATACCGCTCTAGCTCGCACAGTGCTGTGCAGAGAAATACAAGGTACTGACGAGGTGTGGGAGTGCACTCTGAAGCAGTCAAGTGAGCTGAGACCTAAGTGACCGGAAGGAGCCGACTGAGCAAAACTCCAGGCAAAGGTCCTCAGGCAGGAATGAGTCTGGAGTGATGGGGAAAGAGAGAAAAGGCCAGTTCATCCACCACATGTGCAGGTGCCCTGAATCTGATCCTGCTACTTCCCTCGTGGAAACTCTCTGATGCACCCATCGTTCAGGGCGAGGGGCTGGGGCACAGGCATCTCGGGCCATCCTCAGAGTCTCACACCCAGACTGACAATCATCCACCCTCGCCGGGCAGCCCTGGGCATTCTCAGTGGCTTTCAATCCTCTGATCCTCAGCAACTCCAAGAGAGACACTGTTATCCCCATTTACAGATGCTGCAGTTAAGGCCCTGCAGGTTCCCTGGTTTGCTTGCTGCTTCCAAGGATTAGCTCAGCTTTAGGAATCAGAAGGGAGCAGCTCTATGCTTTCTATGTGGGCACTGGCAGAGCTGAGGAGAGGCTTTGCGGTGGAAAAGCCTCCACAAGGCTGCCCAGGGGCAGCAAATCCATTATCTGTCCTTCCCCACAAACCTAGAAGACCAGGGCCCTGGGAAGCACACACCTATTGGCACAAGTCCTGGTGACTTTGAGCATCCTTTTGACCCAACAGCCTGCTGGGCTAGCCAGGGTCCCAGAGGGTTAACCAGGGTCCTGGAGGGTGGGGCTGTGTTTGAAGTGGGCAGCATGGGACCTTTGGAGCAGGCTCTCTCCTTGCTCCCTTAAGTGCTCTTCCCTCCTGAAAAAGGCAGGCTGCACGGGTGAGCCACCTCCTCCTCCTCTGTGTCTCTCCCTCCTCCTGCTTTCCCCAAACATAGATGCCTTGTCCTCTGCCCTTCTTCCCCTCCTTCTCTGAGCCTTTCACTTTCCTGTTGTGAAAGCTGAGAGGAGAGATCAGGAGGCAGCCGGGAGACCTAAACAGAGCCTGGGGCTGGAGTACAGATTTGGAGGCAGCCGCCTACAGGACCCAGATGAAGCCAAAGCTGAAGTCCCCTGGCCAAGGAAGAGTGAAAACACACACATGCTAAACTCCTGCAGTTGACCAGGCACCTGGGAGTCAGAGATAAATCAGGAGCATACAGTCTCTATTCCCGATATTTATTGAGTACTACTGGTGTCAGGTGTGAAGCTGGGAAGTGGGAGGACAGACACCCCCGCGCGGGCCAGCAACCTATGGAACTGAGAGAGAAGGCTCAGCCCCGGCTCAGGTTCTGAGGGGGGTGGCTCTATGTCCCTCAAGGGTCAGGGGTTTCCTTGGAAGAGGGACATTCATATGGCAGGTGGGAAGGATCCAGCAGTTGAAGTCCAAGTGATGGAACTGTAGGGAGAAAACAGTGCCCAACACAGAACAAAGCACACAATCATCTGTCTCATTGGGAGCATGGAGGGGGCCCTATCTTTTCCCTGTAAATGTCTGTGGATGTCTCTGTCCAGGAGCAGCCCTTTTGGGGGAGATTGGGATGCTGGGATTAACCTTTGACCCCGAGAGGTCTGCAGTCCAGTGGATAGGGCTAATCCATCCCTCTTCATCAGTGTCTAAAGAGGAGAGGCAGAGAGGGAAGGGGCAGGCGGATGGGAAGGAGGCCCCACAACCCTGCCTTTGGCAGCCCCCAGCAGGGCTGGGAAGCGACTATTAGGTGAGTGTCCTCGGGTCCGGAGGGGGCGACCTGTCCGGGCCCTCCCGGCCAGAGAGGGGCCCGCGCAACCCCGGAGAGACAGGCAAGGAAGAGGGTAAGCACAGACTGTGTGGCCAGTACCCCCCAACTTCCCGCTGGTCCGACTGTGCTTCCTCCCCAGTACTCCCATCGGGTTCCGCGACCGCCCCTCCGCCCCATCCCAGCCTGGGCACCGCCCCCACACGCACCTCTGACCTGGGAGCCTCCCTCCGCCCCCTCCAGCCTGAGCACCGATCCCCCCACTCCCGCTCCAGCACCGGCGCCCCTGCCCTTCTCCTCCAGCCTGGGCACCGCCCCCCACCCCCTCCAGCATGGACACCGTCCCCCTCGCCCCCTTCAGCCTGGGCACCGCCCCCCCACACACCCCTGACCTGGGAGCCTACCTCCGCCCTCTCCAGCCTGAGCACCGCTCCCCCCACTCCCCCTCCAGCACGGGCGCCACCGCCCTCCTCCTCCAGCCTGGGCACCGCCCCCCACGCCCTCTCCAGCCTGGGCACCGCCCCCACACACACCCCTGACCTAGGAGCCTCCCCCACCTCCTTCAGCCAGGGCACCCCTCCCCCCACTCCCCGCCAGCACGGGCGCCACCGCCCTCCTCCTACA